TAGAAATGAGGTCTTGCCAAGTTGCCCGGGCTGGTCTTGAATGCCTAGGCTCAGGCAATCCTCTCACTTCTGCCTCCCGAAGGACTGGGATTATAGGTGTGATCCACCATGCCCAGCCTCTCCCTAATATTTCTTTTTTTGTTGTTTTTTGGGGTTTTTTTGAGTTGGAGTCTCACTCTGTAACCCAGACTGGAGTGCAGTGGCCGCTCCCAGCTACTGCAGCCTCGACCTGCTGGGCTCCGGTGATCCTTCCGCCTCAGCCTTCCAAGTAGCTGGAACTACAGGCACGCGCTACCATGCCCAGCTCATTTTGATTTATTGTAGAGATGAGGTCTCGCCAAGTTGCCCAGGTTCTCCCTAATATTTCTAACCCCTTCCTGATCTTGCAGAGCTCTGAGGGATCTTTCTGGGAGGCAAAAATAAGAGGTTTTTGCCTCTGGATTTTGTAGTAGAATGGTGGTTTTATGTGTATATGTCTTACAGTCAACCAGTGCAAGTTGGTCATGTCATGTGCGGCTCACCTGTGTTCATTCAGGTGAGAGCGTCACACAGGTGACCTCCAGATACATAAGAGGTCACGGTGATAACAACCCAGCCATGTCCTGGGGAGGCCAGGAGGGACCCTGGATTTCCAGACTGTCCCCTGTATGCCAACGTTCCCCACAAGGTTGGCTGTTTCTGCGTTTGCCAGTTGCTGTCCTGCCCCAGGATGCTCCACAGAGCATCAATACCGAATCCTAAACTGCTCAGCTTAAGAGGCTTTTCTGGTCACCCCATCCAGCACATCACTTCACAGATGAGGAAACTCAGGCACAGAAAGGCCATACAGAGCTAGAACTGGAACTCTGGGCTCTGGGTTCCTTGCTGGGGCTGTCCTCGTTGCTGTCCTGAGTACAGTCTGGTCCTCTTGGTGATTTTCTGATGCCACCTTAGGTTGCCCCTGTGGGATGGAACCAGGGCTGGCTACACAACCGTATGGCCTGTGTAGTCACACAGGGCCCTATGCTGGGCTTAATTCCCTGCTGTCACCATCTTGTTATTGAAAAGAGACCCACATTTTCCCTTTGCCCTGGGCCCTACAATGTATACAGCCAGTGAGGATCCCACCGAATCCTAGGTCTCATCCCTCTTCCAGGCCGTAGGGTGGGACTCGCTAGGGGGCATTTAAAGTGTTCCTTCCATGCCGGGCTCAGCCTGTAATCCCACGCCTTGGGAGGCTGAAGTGAGTGGATTGCCTGAGCCCACGGGTTCGAGACCCGCCTGGGCAACTTGGTGAGCCCTCATCTCTACAATAAATCAAAAAATTAGCCGGGTGTAGTAGCACACGCCTGTAGTTCCAGCTACTTGGAAGGCTGAGGCGGAAGGTTCTCCGGAGCCCAGCAAGCCGAGGCTGCGGTGGCCGGGAGCGGCCACTGCACTCCAGTCTGGGCGATAGAGTGAGACTCCAACTCTAAAATAAAATAAAGTGTTCCTTCCTGGCCGGGGTCAGTGGCTCAGCCTGTAATCCTAGCACTTTGGGAGGCCCAGGTGAGTAGATTGCCTGAGCCCACAGGTTCAAGACCAGCCCAGACAACTTGGTGAGTCCTCACCTCTACAACAAATCAGAAATTAGCCAGGTGTGGTAGTACGCGTCTGTAGTTCCAGCTCCTTGGAAGGCTTAGGCAGAAGGGTCGCCGGAGCCCAGAAGGTCGAGGCTGCGGTGGCCGTGAGTGTGCCACTGCACTCCAGCCTGAGCAATGGAGTGAGACTCCAATTCAAAAAACAAAACAAAAAAAAAACAAATAAAGTGTTCCTCCCATCCAGCATGGGATGGGATTAGAACTTTCTTCTGGGGAAAGCATGCCTGCCCTGATGCCTTAGAAGCCTGAAGATTTTTCTAGATAAGGAAGAGTGAAAACTCTGAAGTCTGACTGCCTGAATTTCTCACTGTGTGACCTTAGGCACATGACAACCTTTCTAAAAGCCTCCATTTCCTCACCTGTAGAATGGGAAACTAGAGTATTATCGCATATGGTTGTATAAGGTATGAGGGATAACACGGTCCTGGGCGTCTGGTAAATGCTCAGTAAGTCAGTCAGTCTCTTGGTCTAGGCCTGAAATCCTAGATTTCTCTGGAGGCTCTGGGATTCTTGGAGCTTCTAAGTCCCAATCCTGCCTCCTTCTCCTTCTCGGGTGGACAGTGATGAGAGACATAATAAAAGCTGTCATCGCCGGGCTTGGTGGCTTAGCCTGTAATCCCAGCACTTTGGGAGGCTGAGGCGAGTAGATTGCCTGAGCCTGCAGGTTCGAGACCCACCGGGCAACTTGGCGAGACTTTGTCTCTACAATAAATCAAAAATTAGTTGGGCATGGTAGCGCACGCCTATAGTTCCAGCTACTTGGAAGACTGAGACGGAAGGATCGCCGGAGCCCAGCAGGTCGAGGCTGCGGTGGCCGGGAGCAGCCACTGCACTCCAGTCTGGGGGACAGAGTAAGACTCAACTCAAAAAATAAAAAAAGCCATCATCACCTGGACGCCCCTTCTGCTGGGTACTCCAGCACAGCCCATCCTGTTAAAGAGGTTCAGGCGCCCCCATCCCAGGCTAACCAGAGCAAAGCCCCTCCCTGCCCATACAAGCCCATAGTTTAAGGAAAGAAAACTGGGAAATGGGTCTGATGAAATGTCCTTTGCTCTGTCTCGGGGAGGTGGGGCAGAGTGCTGAAAGAGGCGTGGCTTTGAAACTAGCTGATATATATTTGAATGTCTTCTTCACCAATTGCCAGCTGGTGACCTTGGGCAGGTGACCTAACTTCTCCGGTCTCCAGCTTCCTCATTTGTAAAAAGTCACAAAGGATTCTTTCAAGGACTAAGTCTGATAAGGGGTATACAATGCTGAGCTCAGTGACTGTCCTGCACAGATAATATCTAATGAATACTCAGATGAGTGAGTGAGTCCATGAGTGAATGAATGAGTGAAGAGATGCTGTCATCAGATGTTTATGAGGGAAGGCATGTGAGGCGATGGAGGTGGTAGTGGGGCAGGGACAGAGGCCACACACACTGTTGAGGGGAGGAAAGAAGTCTTCAAGTAACAGTGTTCACAGCAGTTAGTGTGTGCCATGCACTGTTCTCAACACTGGACTCCTGTTCACTCATTTATCCTCACAAGCCTAAGAGCTAGGCATTGCCATTACCCCCATTTTACAGATGAGGAAACTGAGTGCAGAGAGGGTGAATAATTTACCCTAGCTCACACAGCTAATGAGGCAGCCAGACTCCAGCAACTGTCTTCCTAATCATTATACCACCATAACTACTGCTCAAACTTTTGACTGCATCCCACAGTCTTTTTTTTTTTTTTTTTTGAGTTGGAGTCTCACTTTGTCACCCAGGCTCCCGGCCACCGCAGCCTCAACCTGCTGATCTCCGGCGACCCTTCTGCCTCAGCCTTCCAAGTAGCTGGAACTACAGGCGCGCACTACCACGCCCAGCTGATTTTTGCTTTATTGTAGAGATGAGGTCTCGCCAAGTTGCCCAGGCGGGTCTCCAACCCGCGGGCTCAGGCAATCCACTCACCTCAGCCTCCCAAAGACACGGGATTACAGGCTGAGCCACCGAGCCCGGCGCATCCTACAGTCTTATGGGAGGTTACATCTTCTTCTCTGCCACCATTTTGGTCCTCACTGGACTGTGGGTCACTAATTTCTTTTTTATTTTTATTTATTTATTTTTTGAGTTGGAGTCCCACTCCTTTGCCCAGGCTGGAGTGCAGTGGCACGCACACTCATGGCCACCCCAGCGTCGACCTGCCGGGCTCTGGCAATCCTTCTGCCTCAGCCTTCAGAGTAGCCAGAACTACAGATGCGTGCTACCACATCTGCCATTTTTTTTTTTTTAATTGTAGAGATGAGGTCTCACCAAGTTGTCCGGGCTGGTCTCGAACCCGCGGGCTCAGGCAATCCACTCACCTTGGCTTCCCAAAGTGCTGGGATTACAGGCTGAGCCACAGAGCTCAACCTGGGTCACTAATTTCAAGATACTCCCCCCACTAAGAGGAAGGGGTCAGTATGGGAGTGCTGAGTGACCTCAAAGCAGAGCCGGCCCTAGGGTCTGTAGGACAGAGCCCTGAGCTGATTTGTCAGGGGTGGAGGGAAAGGAGGACATAAGTGTTTCTGCCCAGTGCTAAGTTGGCCCTAGTCAGCTGAGAGGCTGAGGGGTTTAACAGGGCTCCATAGGGCCTGGACACCGTCTTTGCACTCTCAGAGTGTGTGTTGGGTTGGCTGGGGCAGGCAGGGCGCAGGTCTGTGGAGTCAGCAGCTGGGCTCTGCTTGGTGAATTTGGGGGTATCACGCCCTGCTGCGAGCCTTTGGCTTTTTAGCTTTGAAGTGGACTATGGTCCCTGGGTGGGCCTCTCCGTGTGAGTGGGTGTGAAAGTGATGCTTAAACAGGAACTTCTTGGGAGCTGCATGTGTGAGGAGTGAGGCAGCGTGTACAGAGACAGGGCTTTGGGGCTCTCAGGTCAAGCTCAGAGTGGCCTTGGGTTCATTATTCACCTTTCTGAGCCACTCAGTGAAAGTGCAGTGGGACTGTGCGTGTCATCATTCATCCAGGGGTTGTCACATGCCTGCCCTCCACTGAGCTCTTCACACCTTGATCTCAGTCCTCATGATGCCCCCTATGAGATATGTGCTCTAATCAGCCCCATGTTACAGAAGCCTCCAAGAGATTATCCCCCTTGCCCGAGGTCACACAGTTAGAAAGTGGCAGAGCTAGGATTCAAACTGGGGTAGCTCTGACATCCACCTGTGTCCCTGCCCAGTGGTCCACTAGACCTGTGTCCCTGCCCAGTGGTCCACTAGACCTTTGAAGACGAAGCAAGGACCTAGCACTTAACGCTGGGCGAGATGCTGTCCTCTCTGACCAGCGTGGGCTCCTGGAATCCTCCTGTCGACCAGGGTCCCGGGGTCATGTTTCCATCCCTCTCCTGCCTCACACCCCTGTTCTCCCTTCCTTCTATCAGGATGTGGCCACCATGCAGTTTTGCGCCAACAAGCTGGACAAGAAAGACTTCTTTGGGAAGTCCGACCCCTTCCTTGTGTTCTACAGGAGCAACGAGGATGGAACGTGAGTTTCTAAACACTCGCGCGCTGTGCCTTCTCATCCCCTTCTGGGCTTGGGGAGGGATGGGTCGTGGTGACATACCAGATGGCCTGGGTCCATGTCCTTCTGCTCTCGAGAAGGCAAAGGCTCGGGCTGAAAGTCCTGAGCTCCTGGGCAGTGCTGGCCCCCTAGATGGGGCCGGTGGGGGCAGCCTCTGAGCTGGTGGTGCCATTCTGAGGGTCTCAGCAGTGATACTGAATGGTGGGTACAAGGTGTGTCGAGGGTGGAGGAATAGGCAAAAACAGGGCTGGGAGTGAGGGGAGCCCTCTGATAGCCGCCTCATCCTCTATACAAACTGGCCCCTGTCTCTAAGCCCGATCCCCTCTTCCACAGCCCCCTGGGCACCCCCCATCATGTCCCCACGACTGCTCACTCCACTGGGCCAGCCTGACCCCCCTTCCCCACCTGGCCCCACACTCTGCCATAGGCTTCATTTTCCAGACTGCGAAGCCCCCATTTCCTCCTCTCTTCTCCCTCATCTAGAAGCCACCCACAGGATGATGGAAACATACCCGACACATTGGCAAATGTAGGTCAGCAATATATACAGAAAGACAGATTCTAGGTTGAAGGTCCTCCCCAACAACCCTCTGTGACCCCGGGCAAGTGACGCCCCTCTCTCTGGGCCTGTTTTCTCATCCATAACAGGAACCAGTTGGATTAGGTGATCTCCGCGGTCTCTTTAAGCGCCGCAGTTCTGGGAAGCTGTGGCCACTTGCAGGCTGGGATGCTGCACCATGAGGAAGTGATGGGGCCAGGGAGGTTAATTAGAGAAACGCTGCCGGAGAAGGGGAACTTGGAAGCAGCTTGGAAGGAGAGGAAGAAAATGGGTCCTTGGGGCGGGGGTGAGGGAGGGAGAGCAGGGAAGAATCACTGGCTGGAGAAACACATGTGCCAAGCAGGTGTGCCCGGAGCAGGCAGGCCGTTGCCCAATTCCCCTGGATTCCGAAATTCCGTGTGTGTGTGTGTGTGTGTGTGTGTGTGTGTGTGTGTGTGTGTGTGTGTGTGTCGGGGGGCAGGGGAGCGGCAGGGAGGGGGTGTGTTTCAGTTCAAGGAAAAACGGATTTTTAAACCTGAACGAACAAAACAAGGGAAATTAGGTATAGTCATTTGCATGACAAAAGGAGTCTTGTCTCACCAAAGGACTCCTAGCAAGGTTTCTTTAAATAATTCCTGTTGACTTTGACTTGACTTGATGTGAGGGAGGACAAGGCCTGAGTGTTGTTCTGGGCGTCCACACAGGGCCCCTCCTGAGGCGGAGCCCGGGTCGCGCCGGGCTTGCCCGGCTGGGGCTGGCGGCGGCCGGCCAGGAGGAGGAGAGGGATTTGGGAGCAGGAGAGGGATTTGGGAGCAGGAGAGGGGTGTGTTGCAAAGGGTGTTTGCGAAAGAGTGTTCCAGCAGAGCGCTGTGTGGGATGGTGGGGAGGGTGCAGGGAGAGGGAAAGGGAGAGGGAGAGCCTCGTGACTGACACGGTGAACAGGTGGGAGGTGCTGCCGGCGCCGCCCCGGAGCTGCGCTGGGGAAATGCAAGGGGGAGGAAGTGGGAGGACAGGGGCAAAAGGACAGCGGGGGACCTCACTAGGCAGGACTTGGGTGGGGCCGGAAGCCATGCCCCCTTCCAGGCAGGGGAGCCAAGGGAGCCCGGAGTGTTGGAAATGGCCGAGGAGCTGACCAGATGGGGGAGGTGATGGGAGTTTATCTGGGGGCACGTGTCACTTAAAGTGTGAGCTGGAGCTGGGACGGGGGATGGGGGAGAGGGGACACTGATCCCCCAGGGGGATCCCATGGTACTGGGGTAACTGATCCCAAGGCCAAGAGGCAGGCCCGTATCAGGCACCTGCAAAGGGGCGGAGGCTGAGCTAGTGAGAGCGGCGTGGTCGCTGAGGACTTGGGGAGAGAAGAGCCTAAGGTTTGGAGAGACACCTGCAGTTAGGGGAGGGCAGGAGGAAGGCCGGTCAGGGCACCTGGAGAGATAACTGTCACGCCATCCGTGAGGAGGGAGGGACAAGAAAAGGAAGTGTTCACGGGGCACCAGCTCCCAGGGCACCTGCTCCCGGGGCACCTGCTCCCGGGGCACCTGCTCACGGAGCTGTACCTGACAGCTTTGCCAACCTGGCCGAGGAGAGGAGAGAGAGGGAGAAATTAGTGGTTCTGAGATGGGAGGCTGCACAGAAGGTCGGTATGACTACTAGTGAAGAGGTCTTTGGAGCCCATCGCGGCTTCTGTGCAATAGAATCCTCTCTTCCTGTGCCATACAGTCCCAGCTCCTTGTTATCCCTCCGGGCTCCCCGCCCACCACCCCAGCCATGGGGGCAGTGCGGCCCCTCTTACCCTCATCCCCACTCCTGTCCTCGCTGCCAGCTCTGGGGTGTGCGGGGGGGGGTCTCCCACGTCCCTTCCCACCCTCCAGTGGGTGGGCAAAAAGGAGCAGAGAAGAGAAATGCTGAGCCACGGTGACAGGAATGACATTTTGACTTGAAAATAGCCAGAGAAGAAATGGCACCAGCTGTGTGGGAATGGGCAGAGCCCAGGCATTCACTCGGGTGACCTTTCCAAGCCCAGATGTAGCCAGGGCGGATGCTGGGAGGTCTCAGAGAGGCCCCTGCCCCCAGCCCAGCCCTGCTGCGGCTGCCCGTCCATGTGGCAGTACTGACTTCCAGGATGGTTCATCAGGCGTGGTGTTGGAAGTAGTGGGAGGAGGGGAAGGGGAGGCTAGATCAAGGCCCATCTGGGACAAGCCAGTTCTGTGGGTTTAGTTTGCAAAGCCTGTTTTCACGGATTCGGGCTGGAAAAGCTGAGAGGGTCTTAGAGATCATCTAAGATGGGGCTTTAATCTCATGGGTTGAAATGCCAGTGAAAGCTATGGAAACTCTCCCCTGAGAAATATAGTTAGTCTTTCGCTCATTTAAACAATGGTACTGAATACTTACCAAGAACCAGGCGCTGTTCTGGGCACTAGGGATGTGCTAGTGATCAAAAAAGACAAAAATCCTTGCTCTTAGGGAGTTTGCATTTTAGTGACAGATCATAGGCAGAATAAATAAGGGAAAAAATAGACCATATCAAAATGTCAAACGGTGACAAATGAAACAGGAAAAAAAGTATAGAAGGAAACTAGGGGATGTGAGAGTCAGGGTAGCAGGAGGCTGTACATTTTAGATCTGGTAGTCAAGAGAGGTTTCATGGAGATGACATTTGATCTGAAGGTAGTGAGGGGGTGGGTTGTGAAGATGGAAATGGGGGAGAGAATGTTCCAGGCAGGGGGAACGGCAGGCACAAGCCACTCATACACCCAGTTTCAACTAGTTTCAGTGGTTCAGAGACCCCTAAAGTCTGTCTGCATGTCCTTCCGTGGATCTCAGATGAAGAGTCTTTGAGAGAGGCCAACTCTCTTGGCTTACAGGTGAGGAAACAGATGCCCAGAGAGGGGAGGGCTTGTCCAAGGTCACACAGTGAGTTGGCCATAGGGCAGGGGCTGGAACCAGGTCTCCCCAGGATTTGTCCTCACCTTGTGCAGGAACCCTTTCTACAGCATCACCAGCCAGCAGCCATCTAGTTTCAGCCTGCCTGCTGCTAGTGACGGGCAGCTCATCACCTTATGAAGCCATGCTTTCCATTGTCTGGCGACTGCAGATGTGTACAGCTGGCTCCTCTGTTGACTTGGATTCTACCTCCCTTGGTCTTGGGCCTGGCAGCCTTTTCCTGTCTTCTTCAGGTTCACCATTTGCCACAAGACTGAGGTCATGAAGAACACCCTGAACCCAGTCTGGCAAACGTTCTCCATTCCTGTGAGGGCTCTCTGCAACGGGGACTATGATCGGTGAGATGAGAAAACCTTCCTTCTTTTTTCCCACACCTGT